CCCCCCCAAGCCACCGACTCTCTTCCTCCTTGAAAACCTGGTGAGATCTTGATGAAATTTCTCCTTCTTTCTTGCTTAATCACAAGATTTGGGGCTTAGAATTCTCTCTCTCTACCCAAAAATCCCGGATCTGCTCTGTTCTTCTCCCTTGTCCGTCGGGTTTTGCTGGGTTTGAATCCTTCGGTTTTTCTGGTAAGATTCAGCCAAGAGTCCATCTCTTTAGCTTTGAATTTGGCTTGGGCTTACCTTGAATTGTGTTTTGGTTTTTGGATTGGGTAGCCGTGAGTTCCCCTGCAGAATTTCTTCTTCTCTGCCGCCGGCTTCTCCCCCCCTGCTAGGCTCGATTTTTGGCTGCTAAATTTTGGTATGGACAGCTCCTCTAAGCCTAAAATTACCCATTTAATTGCTGGGTTTTGTCCATTAAGTGCTGCCTGTGCTTGCCGAATTTTGCTAAAATGGGGGAGGAATTCCGGTAGCATTTAAATGTGTTTTGTGCTTGGTTTATGTAGGAATTTTGTTAATTGGGTTGTTGTGATTTTGGAGAAAAATCCCGTGAATTAGCTAGTGTTTTGGCCAATTTTGGAAGTGAAGTTACTGTTCATGATACTGTTCACGGGTACTGTTTACTGGTACTGTTCACGGGCACTGTTTACACACCGAGGATCAAAAATTAACGGGGATTTAAATGATTAGTTTGTGATATAAGAATAAATTTGGAGATGTCCGATTATGTGGAGATTGATAGAAATAGCACTATGATTAGGGGTAGTGCTAATGATGATTTCAGTTTAAATTTGTGATAGTCCAGTATTAATTCTGAGGTGTTTTGATTAGGTTCTCGATCGTTCTGTCAGTTAGCACTGAGATTGAGTGCTCGGTTTTATGCGAGTGAGGTAAGTAAATTATGGTAAAGCCCTTCGATTTTAAAGCACGTTTTAAATTGTTTTTGAGATGGTGGCAAGGTTTAAATTGATTTTAAATTAATTTTATCAGCATCTGAGTGTGATTAAATTGAAATGAAAAGTTGGATGATTTTCATGAGAGTTTCCTTGTTTTTCTGAAATTGAGCATGATTGAAATGAAAATGAGGATTTTATTGATTTTCTGGAAATGAGAATGATTGAGAAATGAAAATGACAATTTCATTGTTTTCTGGAATAGAGCATGCCTATTTGGGAATTGACTAAACTGCTTTGATGAACTGAGAATTTTGTAAATGTTGAGTTTTCTGTTAAATCCATGCCTGCATGGAACTTTTTCGGTTTGTTCTGAAATTCGGGATTGATTATGAAATTCAGGTTTTTGTAAATCCTGCATGGTTTTGTCTCGGATATAGTTATGATTATTGATGATCCTGCTAGTGGGGGTTAAACGCTAGCACATGTCGGCGCATGT